TTATTTCACATGATAAAGATTTAATGCAAATGGCTTTGGCGTGTTTTAAAAAAGCTAAACGATTGAACGTACTATAACAATATATTGATATTTTAAATTGCTATAAGGTGGACTGTTACAAGCTATTGTACTTTCATATTAATACATTGTATTTTATTTTAATTAAACATGTTACACAGGCAACCACGCTGTCCCGGCAAAATTTTGACGAGCAGCTAATAGCAGAAAGAACGGGTCACTCCAGTCTAGTAATTAGAAGCTACGAGCAGACAAAAGCGGTGTCGGACGCATTGCAGCCACCCAAACCGATGAGGACAAATCTAATACCACTGTCATAACCGATTCTTCCCAAGTGTCCGTGAATTTTGTAAAAGGAAATATGAAACTTGAAATACGTTTTTAAAATGTATCGTATAATCGTCATTGCGTATTTAAATAATTAAATGAAAATTCCACCTTGTTCTTTGTTTTCATTCAGTGGCCACCTGTTATGTTAATCAGCTTTCCACTCCTGTTGTGCTCATGAATATTTAAATTAACCCATTCATTATTAACAGTCTCGGCTTGTTAATCCATTGATAAAACAGTACCTTTAACAGGAATGCATAATTAATTAGGTTGAAACTGTCCGCTAATGAAAGTAAGAATCATAGTTAGAACAATGGGGACGAGACAAAAAGTAGTATAACTATTATGAAAGCTCTATAATTCTGTTCTAATGATTTTCAAAATTTATATACTTGAAATGTATTGTCGAATGAACACTTTGTTTCGGGCAAAATCAAACATTTTTGCTTTTGCTCATGGGACTTTGACTCAAAAAATACCTGTTATTTTGGCTGCATGAAGGCAACACTAAACAATGGCTGATTATATGAAGTCCCATTTAATCGGCAGCTACAAACATTTATAGAGTAAAATGGGAGTGAATATGAATGGGAGTCACAAATTACCTGGTATCAGTGGTTGATCCCTTGGAACTTCAATGTCAGAGTAGTCATCATCATCACTTTCTTCACTGGATGTTTCTGTCAATCAATATTAATTAAAATACTGATTTAATATTAATTAAAATACTGTCATTGTCAATGACACGTCCCCGTTCCGTTCATATTTGAGTGACATATACAAACAAATGCACATATCTATTTGTGACATGATGTACCATGTGTGTGTGAAGTTTGAACTTGATCAATCCAGACATGTCTCGAATACGGATCAAGAACTGAATTCTTTAAAACAAAATGGCCACCAGTCGGCCATTTTGAACTTGATCTGGGGGAAAAAAATGACGTGCATCAAGGTCCTATTATGTTTAATGTATGTACCAAATTTGAACAAAACCGTCCATGCATAACTGAGATCCGGGTCCGGAATGGTGAAAATGTGCGAAAATGTGCATTTTTGGCCTTTTTGGCTGCTATTCGGCTATCGTTAATCGGATCATGAAAAAAATGCATGTGCATATGTCCCATATAATGTGTGATGTATGAGTGAAGTCAGGGGTTTTAAAAATAGTGTTTCGATTAAGTACAAGGCAGTATACAGAATGAAGTATATGCTATTGATACATAACACCATAACTGCCTTATTTATTGCAACATATTACAGCACTCATACATATTGCTACATTGTGACAGTACCTCAGTACAATCAACACTTTCAGTACAATCAGCATGTTCGATGAA